CATGAAAGATAGCAATTTAAAAAATTATTTAATTTGTTAATATTACATTTTCACTGTAGGGGATGGAGGATCTGGCAGAATTTTCTGTCTCAGATGGCAAACCGACTTTAGAAACCTTCTATATAATCCATCTTTGACTATAATGGTAGCATGCCATTTGCTGCTCTCTTTTGGGTAGCAAAATGTCTTGAGCTATTTCTGTCCTTGTCTTTTAGTGTATGTATGTATGTATGTGTGTGTGTGTGTGTGTGTGTGTGTGTGTGTGTGTGTGTATGTGTATATATATATATATATATATATATATATATATATATATATATATATATATTACTTCAGAAGTAGACCTCAGGACAGTACACATTAATCTAAGGAAAACTGCAAAATATTAGCCACTTCAAAAAAGAGGAAACAATTTCTAAAAAATAGGGGAAGATTTCAATTAAGAATATAGTCAGACTATAATGAACAAAAAACTATTGTGAACACATGTGTGTCAAAGCAGTGTGTAAGAGATGAAGAAGGGGCTGTATTTTAATTAATCACATGCACATAGTTCAAAAAGCATCATGTTTCCTTAGCTATAATGCACTTAAACTATGTGAATAAGCCTTTAGTAGCCAAGTTCACATTAAATCAAACACAGCCTTTGCATGTCATGGAAATGCAAACAAAGATTTTAAATTAATGAGCTACTTATAAAAATATTTAAGATATCTAAGTCATTCAGTGACTGGAAAAACAAATGAAGCAAACAAAAGATTGAAATAAGATCCTAACAATTCTAGTATTTAAATTCTGAATACCTATTATGTAAAACAAAATGTATTTAAGATGAATGTGTTAGGAGAGAAATAAGATAATAAAGACTTGTGTCCATGTTTTGCTGTCAAATATTTCATCCCAATGCAGTAGAAAAATGTTCCAGAACAGTTTGACCTTGGGTAGAGAATAAGCAAGCCAAAGCAAACAAACCCCACCTCATCTAAATGTGCAGAAAAACAGACATAAATCAAAAAGATTTTAATCAACTGTAATCAAATTCTGATTAAATAATTTTGTACAATGTATTCACTGAGTTTTTGCTAACATTGATACCTTATAGCATACATAAATTCAGCCTGAAAAATGTTGTTCTCAAAGTAAGTTCAGTGTACAGTATGTTTTACTATACTTCTTTAGACCACTAATGAAATACCAAAGCAGTGACATAAAATGCAAATACATTAATAGAATTGTTAACAAGAGAAAATAAAGTTTATATGATAAAACAAAAAACAAAGAGGGCATTTCAAAGGTACCCTGAAAATGCTTTATTGGTCTGACATGTATTGGTCCTGTGACTCTATTTCAGTGGCAAATGATATTTGATAAATTTAAATTTGGCAAGGCAATGTCTGGATCCTTCTGGGCCACTGATATAAAAGATGATACCAGCTGTTTAATATGTCAGCTACACTCAGAATAAATTTCTACCACTAGGGCACCAGATCCTGTCTGATCTTGGACTCTAAATAGGGTTGCCTCTGGTCAGTACTTGGAATGCAAACCACCAATGAACACCATGTGCTGTAGGCAATGTTTCATAGAAAGGAGCTGGCAAAACCATCTCTGAGTATTTTCTGACTCAGAAAACCCTAAGACATTTATGGGCTGCCATAAGTCAATAGATAAATTGAAGGCACATTTACACACACAAACACACACACATGATCCAGCTCACAGAAACAGTAGAACTCATTTTTAATTACTTGTGGAATCCACACCAATAAAGAACAAACAAGGTCAACACATTACATATTGTGTCATATATACATAGGGGCTGGTCAGTGTGCTCCGAGGAGGCTGAACACTACCTTCCTTATCAAACTATCAGAGCCACCAAAACAGTATTGCCCATTTAGCATTCTTACAGTCATTTATTTTAAAGGATTTGCTTTAAGACATTTTATCTACTGCTAATTTATCTTATCTACCCGCTTCATAGGAAATCTGCTGCAAAACAGGAGATTTTGTTGTTGAGTTCCAGGGTCAGAGAAGCAGGCGGCGGAAACAGAAGTACGGCCTGCTTCAGGGGAGCGTGCTTGCTCCATCAATGTTTAAAATATACACAAATGATCAGCCAATACCAGAAGGGACAGAGAGTTTATCTATGCTGACGATTGTGCCATCACCACTCAAGAACGGAGCTTTGAAATGTTTGGACAGAAGCTTTCTGAAGCTTTAGGTGCTCTTACTGCCTAGTACAGGGAAAACTAACTGATTCCTAGTCCATCTAAAACACAGACATGTCCTTTTCATCTCAAGAACAAACAAGTATCTCGAGCTCCCAGGATTACCTGGGAAGGAATCCCACTGAGCACTGCAGCACACCAAAATACCTAGGAGTCACTCCAGACTGTGCTCTGGCTTACAAGAAGCACTGCTTGACTATCAAGCAAAAAGTGGGTGCTAGAAATAATATCATATGAAAGCTGACTGCCACAACTTGGGGATTACAACCAGATACAGTGAAGACATCTGCCCTTGCGCTTTGTTACTCTGCTGCTGAGTACGCATGCCCAGTATGGAATACATCTCACCACGTTAAAACAGTGGATGTGGCTCTTACTGAGACATGCCGCATTACCACAAGATTACGCCCAACACTGATGGAGAAATTATACTGTTTAGCCAGTATTGTACCACCTGATATCTGCCAGGAAGTAGCAGCCAGCAATGAAAGGACCAAGCCATTGACATCTCCAGCTCATCCTCTGTTTGGATATCAGCCACCATGCCAACAACTTAAATCAAGAAACAGCTTCCTAAAATCTACAGAGATACACATAGGAATACCTCAGCAAGTGAGAGTCCAAAAGTGGCAGGTAGAAACCAAGAACCTCAATCAGTAGCTGATACTGGATGAGAAATTCCCTCCTGGGCACACAGAAGACTGGGTGACTTCAAAGGCAATGAATAGACTACGCTCTGGTACCACGAGATGCAGAGCCAATCTTAAGAAATGGGGCAATTAAGTGGAATCCACAATATGCAAGTGTGGAGAAGAGCAAACCACAGTGCAATGCAGTCTGAGCCCTGCCACAATGCAGTCTGAGCCCTGCCACATGCACAATGGAGGATCTTCTCACAGCGACACCAGAGGCACTTGAAGTGGCCATCTTCTGGTCAAAGGAAATTTAGCATAATGCCAAGTTTTTAACTGTATGTGTTGTTCTTATACATTATAATAGTATTCTCAATTTGCTTCTGACAGAATAAATAAATAAATCTACTGACAGACTATTTTTATACTATAATCTATTTTAAATGTTAAGCCAACAAACTAAACGTTTACTTTATACATGAGAAACATCACCCAGAACATAGTAAAGGATCTGAATCTTTTGGCAAGATAATCATTTCTAGAATTTGTTTGACTAGATGCACTAAAAATTATCCTGAATTGACAGGTGTTTAAAATAAAAGGCAATGAAAACACAGTGAGATGAAATGAAATAACGGATATATAAATTACGTTAATGTTTAAATGTCAAGAAACATTACATCTTGTAATACTGATCCGGATGGAGGTGTCAAACTGATTAACAGTTGCAATATACTAAAACAGACCATGTGACTTTGCTCATACCTATTTTCTTTTCTTTTTATAAGCTGTTCCCAGCTTTTTGATGGTGCCAAACATCATCAGTTGGTCTATCAGTTTGATTCTGTTATTTATGAAGAGATTAAACACTGCTGCCTTGATGTACAGCGGATTTTAAGGAAGGTTTTAAAATTAAACAAGTTTTTAGAAATGAGCACAGTAGATTATATGAAATGTAGTATCATCTTAGATCATTCTATAATTTACTAACTCAACTAATGACAAATGTTACTTACTATAGCTCATGATCATGCATAAAATTGTAAGGAAATGAACTGAGTCATAATCAAGCGAAGTCAAAATGGAATGTTGGAAGAAAATAGTTACAATCACTATTTTAAAAAATCACAAATTATCTTGATCTCTGGAGTCCCCCTGTAAAGATTCCAAATACTATGTTATATATAAATTACTTGAAATTCCAGTTGTGGTGCATTACTTCAACAACTTCTTTTGAACTTATTCTAATGAAACAAGTATTAGGAAGAAAAATATTTTAAAGGAGAATTGCCAAGCAGGTTACAACCAAAATCTTAATCCAGCTTTTATATTTTAAGGAGCACATTTATTGATCTAAATATACATGTGGGGTTCTAAAAATGCATTTTAAATCCAAAAATGATTAAGCAATCAGACGGAAGGTGTATCTTATAATTATGCAAGCATGCACAGATTAATAGCATGCAAACCAGCACAATATGATTTCTTCATAAATGCCTTTAAGTTTAAACTGAATACAGTGTTACAATGGTACAATATATTGTTATATAATATACTTTACATTTCACAGTAATTTTGAAAGATATGGGTATCCAGCAGAGGGAGTAGTATTTTTCAATTAAAATATAAACATAGAACCAATACTTTATAATAACCAGAAATAAAGCAAAAAAAGCAACTATTAAGTACCATGTTGACTGACTTTGAATAAATACAAACATAATATGTAAGCTAATCACCTTAGTAAAGCTTTAAAGGAAATGGAGCCAGCAACCCTTGCTTGTTTCCACCACCATTTCTCCACCCAGGCATTCAAAAAGTCCAGAAGTGGTGCCTTGGTGAAGAGAGTAGAGGGGATAAGGGCTTATTTCAGGTTCTCCTGGGATGGAGTTAGCTCTCATTTTTCCCCATTCTGCTCAGAGAAAGGGAGATTCACTTTTGAGAAGAGTTAAGGTACAGTATTTACACCAACCCATGGATAAGTTAATCCAAGTTTTTTGGATCAATTTTATGACTACAATTTCTAGACGTATACATGAGTATATAAGGGTAATTTTACAAACAAGCCACAAGGCCAACCAGGATGATAATGATACTCCACTATTTGCTCCTTTCCCCTTAAAAAACATACATGTACCTGTAAATTGATCTCTGCTTCATAGAAAGTTAGACAAGAGCAGTAGTGTCGTTCTGAGTTTATATCGGTCAAAACCACCACAAAGAAGGTAGGTTGCTTCCTCTCTTTTGACAGATGCCATCCTCCGGGCTGACAAAACTATGGGGAAAGAAAGTGCATGTTTAGTTTAACAAAAGACCACATCAGAAAACAAAAATAACTGCCTGTAAAACTATTACACAAGGATTATAGAAAATAATATTGATATTTTCCTATGCAACTACTTAGCAGATCTTGAATTAAAACTCCAACTTTGAAACCATTTATCAGCTATTTCATTTTTTGTTTGGTTACAGTACAGACAGCTGTAGTAATATCACTAAGTTCTGTAATTCTGGCAATAGCCACAGTTTTCTGTGCAGGTGCTCTCTCCTCCGCAAGAAAATGGCACATCAACAATATTAAGGGAGAAGCCATTCAAGTCAACAGCGTTTGGGTAGAAATGGGGAAAATGTGCCACATGGGCTGGGTGTGGCCCCTGAGTCTCATTTTGTGGCCTCCAAACCCTAACGAGTCCCTATACCATGATCAGCCAAAATGTGAAAAAAGAGTAAATATTCATTCAAACTGCTACAAAATATGGCACTTTAAATTGCCTGGTCCCAATTACCCACACAACTCGCTTCAAAAAATTGGAATTAAGCTAAATTTAGGCTGTTATGTGGACCAGAAGTGGCATCACTTCCTGTTGCACCAGGATACTTTGGGTCGGGGTGGGAGGCAGCTCTCTCCACCTCCCTGCTCTCTCTCTCTCTCTCTCTCTCTCTCTCTCTCTCTCTATATATATATATATATATACATACTTGCATTCTGAGAGCTGATGAATCTCTCTGTTTCAAGAATTCAAACCCTGTGCCAGTCAGCAATAAATGTACAACATAACACATTACTTAGCAATATCAAAATAAGTATTTATGTAGTCCTAATACTAAAAAAATATAAAATATCAGGATGCAAAATAGAATGCAACATAGGAGAAACATGGGAGAGATATTAACGATTCTACTTCTATTTTTGTCATAGAATAGAAAATTATATTCTGGTTCTTATAAATATTTCAATGTCACTGAGCATTTCATCTACCACATATGCAAAAATAATATACCTTATTGTGTACACAAGCCTATTATTGCATCCAAATATTATCATAATTTTCATTCTATGTTCAAAGGTGAAACTGTACTCAAATTCAGAGATTATTAAGCACAATGTGCAGACTAATCCAGGTAACGTGACACTTGCATAACATGATATAATTTGGTAATTGAGAACAAGTCCCAAGAAATAGTGGTACAGTGAATTTGTAACATTAACTTTGTTAAGCCAATAGGTATTTTAATCACTGCTTTAATGAGATTTTTCTTTTTTTAAATAGCCAAAGCTTATTTGCTCTATAAATCCTTAGGAGACCCTCTTGTTCAACATACATCAAGTATCTTTCTGGATTATATCATAATCCGGAGTTCAGGAAAACAACAATAACATGAAGCAGACAGAATTGAAACTTTGTGATATCTATAAAGGACCAAATCTAAGTAAATGTAAGCATTATTCCAACATGGAAAATTACATAAGGCTACTGTGATTTGCACTTAAACATTTCTCTTTTCTAATTTAACTGACAGTAGTAAAGAACATTTAGTATTTATTTCATCTCTAAGTGACCATTCACCTTCCAAAGAAGCACAATATGTAAACGCTGGCTCATTATAAATAGTAACTCTTATTGACACTTCCCAGTAAGAATTAGAATGAGAGATAATTATAGTAACCTATTTCAGATTTGTTCGAATTATTTTCAGTTCAGTAGGCAGGTTAATGTAAATTGATGTGTTGACATACTAAAAGACACAAAAACGAGTTATAAAGCTTGATATTTATTATCAGATGTAATATAGCACTAAAATAAGATAATCTCCAAATCAAAACATACTTCTTTAAAAAAATCCAACAACACAAAATCATACTTATTTGACATCATGATTCTTACAACTACAGTCTATTACAGAATTCTAATTGAACATACTGATAATACTTTTATTAGCTCCACATAGGTTTCCGTGTAAAGGTTTCTATGGAACTGAAGTATTGCATATCACAGTGCTGCCACCTACAGCAAACAAACCTAGCAAACCAAGACCATACAACTGTTATAATTCAGCTATAACAAGTCCAGCTTTGGTAAAGTCCTTTAGCAAATGTACAGCATAAAAAGCCAATAGTGTGTATATGAAGATATATGGTTCTACAAGTAGACATAGAATCACAATACAAGCAACCACTGAATTATGAACATCGGCCTTACATACAACTCATATGTACAAATGGAGACTATGTACAGCAGAGGTTCCCAGCCACAGCCAATATAGGGAAGGTGGGAGGTGGGAGGGAAGGAGATCCACCGAATGGCTGTGGTGGCCATTAATAGGCTGTAAAACGAACAGGAGTATAGTTGTCACCCTGTTGGCAGCAGAGATTACCTCAACTCAGCTGTGGCAGCAGGCAGGCATGAGAGGTGGTTGTGAGTGGACTGTGAGAGGGATGGCTGCTTCTTGGGGGGGGGACTCCCCTTGCCATTTGCGGTGCTATAGGTGGGTGCAGACGCAAGCGCACTGACTAGCAGTGCACACTGGGCCTCTTCCAAGGTGGCCACAACCATTCCTGGCTCCTCCCACTCCTCAGACTCCAAATCTGAGCCCTGAAGATCCCTTACTCACAACAAAAGGGTGTTTTTTGGCGTTGTACCCCTTAAGCTTCTGGACTAGGTGGGGGAGGGGGAATGTATCTCTTCTAACTTACATACAAGATCCACTTCTTGTTAAAATTACTTTATTGCCCAGTGGGCCTGGCCCCTTTCACTCTAATAGATAGCTTTCAGACAAAATGGAAACTTATGCTGCAGGAGAAGCTGAGAAGCTTGGGGTTTACACCTCAAACACCTTAAACACTTGGATATGACAATGCTAAATCTGCCAATAAGCAAAGGCAACCTAGAAATATTTAAAGTAAATAAAAAGGATCCCAGCCAAGCTCTCTGATTCTGCCAGTCCACCTGTTAGTACCAACCAGGACCCAGAATTTGTATTTTAAATGCTCACAGGTCTACCCGTTAGTAACAATGTTTATAGTGCCGCGACTTTAATACAATTTTTTTCTTTAACCTTCAAAATGGGAGCAGTTCTAAAGAGATTTCACAGAGAACAGAAACTCTTGTAATTGCCATTTACCATCATTTAAATAAAAAAGAGCCCAAAATATGTAACTTAAAAAGAAATATAGCTCCGCACTGTAGGGTGAACACTTCGAGCCACGAGGAGAGGCAAGTTAAAAATAAAATTATTATTATTATTATTATTATTATTATTATTATTTGAAACACAACAAGATGAGTCCACAGCAGACACTCTGCTGGCTGTTGAATTGGATCACACGTCAGACACTTCCCAAGTATCTAGGACGGTATGATGTATCAGTGAATAATGCGTGCAGATCCCAGTAAGGTGGCCTTTTGCAACTGGCAGGTGGTAATCTTGTCAGCGCCGATTGTGTTTAAGTGCAGGCCAAGGTCTTTAGGCACTGCACTCAGTGTACTGATCACCACTGGGACCACCTTGACTGGCTTGTGATAGAGTCTTTGCAGTTCGATCTTTAAATCCTCATATCATGTCAGCTTTTCTAGTTGTTTCTCTTCAGTGGGTTGTTGTAGGTTTTTTCGGGCTATAGGGCCATGGTCTAGAGGCATTTTCTCCTGATGTTTCGCCTGCATCTATGGCAAGCATCCTCAGAGGTAGTGAAAGCCTTCGACAATACATTGTTTCTCTTCAATCCTGCTGTCACCTGGGATTGCAAATCGACAATCCATACTTTGGTTTTTAACATGATCGTGAGGTCTGGAGTATTGTGCTCCAAAACTCTGTCTTGTCTGAATCCGGAAGTCCCAGCGTAGCTTGACGTGTTCATTCTCTGTAACTTTTTCTGGCTTGTGATCCCACCAGTTCTTTGTCGGAGGCAGATGGTATTTGTGGCACAAGTTGCAATGAATCATCTAAGCAATGGTGTTATGTCTCTGCTTGTATTCTGTCTGCGCGATCTTCTCTCTATTATTGTTGTTGTTGTTGTTGTTGTTATTATCTTTAGTTCAATATGCATTTGAAACATCAAAAATATGCAACTTAGCAGCACACAATACTTTGCATTTGTGTGACATATTCTTGATCCCAATTATGGAGGTACATGTCAATATATGAGTAGTTTTTGCTATCCTCAACAAACTAAGCGGAGAAAACAGTAAGATGTGATCAGTAAATGTAAAAAAACCACATTACTTTATATATCTATATATCTATGGAACAAGACAAAACCACAGTAAAAGCAGTAGAGGAAGTTTTATTCAATATTTTATATGGAGAGCTTTTATTAACCTTCTCCTTTTCTTGCAGTTACAAGCCTTGTTGTAACTTGACTCTGGTTAGCTCTGTAACAAAATATCAGTGAATGATATAAAAGGTGACTAAGGCGCAGTTTTAACATAATGAGCATATATAAATGGATATTCCAATAATCTGAATTCCAGGAACTAAGGTAAAATGTACTTTCACTCTTGTTTCTCTTCATTTACTCAACTATAACTAAGCCTCAAATAATACAATTCTATTATTTCCTGGCATTCTTCCGTTACCTTGCCAAGAAATGACTAGTATTAACGTTTACTTCTTTTTCTTTTGCATATTGTATAATTCTGTAAGTGTTACAATGAGAGATACAAAAGACAAAAAATCACATAGAAAATTTACATACAATTATATCATTACATTAATATTGGAAGAAATTCCAGTTTCTCATTCAAATCAAGACTGTTATCAGAATACAGGAATGATGAGTCATAATATAGTAACTTCAATATAAAAACTAATAAACACACACCCCGGTTACCTTATATGGTTAATTCAGTGTATATGAATTAAATTCACTGTACAGGCAGTCCCGAAGTTACAAACATCTGCCTTTGAATCTTTACAAACATAATGACTCATAGTTACAAACGGGGGTGAGACAATAGGAAGTGAAATTAATCTATCCCTCAGAAGGGAAATTCACTC